CCAACCTGATCCATTCCATGATTACCAGGAGAACAGTGCTGTAGTGCTGTGCTGCTGTGTTTTCTTCTAGTGTTCATGCTTTAGGAAAAATACAAATTTGAGAATATTCAGCAGGAATATAGAAGAATAACTACAAGACTCAAAACCAGGCAGCACATCTAAGTCACACACTAAATTAATCCAGAGAAGTTCAGAATTAAAACCCTGAATGACCCCTTCTTTAGAAAAAACTCTTATCTAGAAAAGTAGTGTTATAGAACAAGCCATAATAAAACTAAGTAGGGACAGCTTTGTCTGCAGCTGCATGTCTTTTAATAGAGAAAAAAAAACAAACTTCATTGTACAAAGTAGAGAAAAAAGCAACTTAGAAAAGTATGGCAAGTGTTACGTTACACAAAGAAACTCAATTTAACTACTGTCTTAAAGCTATTCCAGCCATGAATTCTTGGTCTAAAATGGTCACAATCATTTCTCTGACTTTGGCTGCAAAGAGCAAACCCATTTTAATTGGCTGTTGATGCCAAACATTAAGTTAAGTACTGTAACAATTCAGGTATATGCCTTCAGTTGATGAGAAAATCAGCAAGACTAGAAACAATTTAAGAAGGTCAGTAGCCACAAAAGGGACAGGGATGAAGAAAAAAACCAAACACTATTTCCATCCAAAAAGGAATTCAATAATCTTAAGCAGCAATAGACAAAATATCTGCCTCCACAAAGTGAGAGAAACAAACTTTTAGTAAAACTAAACAGTGTTAGTGACAATATAGACTACTTTCAATAAAAAGCTCAATCATTAATGTTACAGAGCTTTCTTTGAAAGTATGTTTCCCTTCTTATCCTTTCACCAGTCTCAGCCTGAAAGCCAAGAATCAGGGAAAGCAGGACTTTTCAGAGCATAAGACATATGCAGGTGTGCAGAACATTACTTTAAAAATCTTCTACAATAGTCTTATCACTGATTTTTAAGGGTGCCTCATGTGTCTAAAAAATTATTTGCAATCAGCCCATATGATTAACAAAACACCTTTAAGCTACTGGCTTAATCACTGGTCATGGCGAAATTTAATCCTTTACATTGGAAGGATGGGAAATATCTCTTTCAAAATATTTTTTTTTAAATTAAGATTTGCCTAAAGGAGAAAGGAAAAGTGTGTAAATGGGGAGGGCCAGGAAATAATAGGCAGTTAGAAACAGTTAATATATAAAAGGAAACATGAAGAGAACTAGTTTACTGAAAAAATCTAACCAGACTTGATTGTAAATAATTTCCACTGTAACATTACAATAGAAAATAATAGCCCAGAAAAAAAAAAAAAAAAGCTATAGAAATCCTCTAAGGAATAGAAATTCACTATAGAAAAATACATGCTTGTTTGCTAGAAAACATTGTTACTGCCAGTCAGTGCTAGAAAATAAACCCTTTTGTTTTCATTGTTCCTTTCACCACTAAAATCATTTACATCACCAACTCTCACAAAGAATCCAAACAGACAAAACAAAAATTAGGCCCAAAACCAGTGAAGACAAAGTGTTGTCTGCCTACCACATCAGACAGTGTTTGCCAGTCTATTTGACTAACAGGACCACTACTGGAAATAAACCTTTTAAATACAAGGATTTCATTATTGGGACATACATTCCTCACAAGAACTGAAACTGTCTTTGAAACCAAGCTAGAAAGTTAACTGAAGAGAAAAAAAACACCACAAGATTTCAGTTAATAATAAATACTGCTTTGCAGATAAGATCCAACAGGGGCCAAGCTTTCCTTCTAGAACACTTCAATGGCCAAATCAGCTGAACAACTCCAGCAAGAAAGTTCTCTTGCAAACTTTGGGAAAATGAACCAGTAAGGTTCTCTGAAACTTTCACACTACATCTTACTATCAAAATCATTTTCTGATTTGGTCACATACATGAAACAGCTGTATAATTAAAAAAAAACAGGTTTATGATGCTTCCAATTGTTGAACAGAACTTTTACCACCCAACCTTGAAAATTATCAGGACCACAGCATATTACAATAATAATAATTATAAAATATGTTGGAATATTGGACTTCCCTGAATCAGCTATATATTATATTTTTGTAGATCCTACTTTATTCTAAAAATTGTATTCTGCCAATAAATAATTTCAATGAAAAAGCAGAATTTAAAAGACCCTCTAAGTTTCCATTTCATAACAAAAGTAAACTTTACTGTAAGGCCATCAAAGCATTTTTGACCATTACCAAGTCTTCCTGCATGAGGTGTCTCCTGCATGGAGAGAATCCAGTAACTATGAGTTATAGAATATGGAAGAACCATTTCATCTTTGATGATCAGAATCACTGTGTTTCTAGAATAACTAGTTAAATTGTTTTCCTCAGAGGGAAAACAAAACAGTGACAGTTCCAGAAAAAAATAAAAAACTGCATGAAAACTTTTCTCCAACATCTGCAGTTCACCTCTAAATGGAATAAAGTTTGCTCTGTAGAGGCCCATAATCCTATGACTACACTAAACTTTACAGGAAGGATCAGGTTCTCAGTGTAGTCCTTAGTTTGAAAGCAGACTAAAATTCCTGAAGCAATCATTTATACCTTTATACCCCAGAGTCACAGGTTTGAGGGTTTCTGCATATATGCAGCCCTACATTCCTTTGATTAAGAAGCATAAATGAAGACGCTTTAGAACACACACACAGTGAAGGTTGATAGGCCAATACAAAACTAAAATCCTGTGTTTTTCACTCTTGATTGTGGTCATGAGAACATTAGCTTGCTTGTGGCATTCCTAAATATGTGGCAGAGTCTTAAGAACAGAAACCCAAAAAAGTCTTAATCCTATTTTCTTGAAAGGGCCAAGAGCCTGAAACCATGACCCAAAAATGGGCTTACTGAGAAAAAGCGTTCAAAACACTGCAAATAGGATTACAGTTTACCTTGCAACAGTATTCAATTATTTTAATGGCTGTATCAACCATCCCAACACAGACATTGTTACAAGTAGAGAAACTTGTGGAATTTCAAGATGTTAAGTGGTAAATCAATTGTAAGAGTAATACCCCTTTTCCACAACCACTGTCCCATAGCAGTCCTAGGCTTTCTGAAATGACTATTTATGAGTCTGACTCTGGGATAATAGAATATAAAGCAAGTGGGACCACCTACCATATGAAAGTATACACTAATTGAAAACATTAAGCAGCAGAAAAACTTAGAATTTAAGATGAGCCTCCACTCATTCAAGCCTAAGCTTTACAAAGATATCTTTATTTACTTAGAAATATGAAATGGTAAAATAAGCTCTCTCTACTTCAAGACTTTCTAATTAATTTTGTCAGCAGAAATAAAGGCCATCTCTAACCAAGGCCAGTCTCCTTTATGAAAGTTAGCAGAGTAACACTGAGACAAAGTTGTACCACCCTCAAGACCTTCAAAGTTTTCCAAAAGCGTGTTCCAGCCCACTACAATGAAGAAGCATGTAACCCTTCCATAAAAGTGATGGACAGCTAGGCAACTTCAATAATTCTGATCAGAAACATCAAAGCAAGCCATTTGTTTGCAGAACTATGTCTCATATTAAAGGAGATGCAGGCAACACAACTACTGGACTTTTACTGTATTTGCATTAAAAATTTGCATTTTTAGTAGAAAGTCTCTAGATGGTGACAATGAAACATAATGTTTACTGCAGTTATTAGCATATTCTATATTCTTCCATCATAAGCAATGCAAATCAACCTTAAATAAAAGGAAACTACTGTAGGCTTACCCCAATCGTCCCTCTCCCCTGGGGCATCCCCAGCATCTCGTGGCCTTCATTTACAAATTTAAATGCACCTGCACTTAAGAACCAAGTTGGACATGCAGCATGATCTTAATTATGGCCTACATGAATTTCAAGTGCAAGTTACTCCAGAAAAACAACTCTTCCTTTGACAAACTCAGAGAGGTCAGAATGCCCCCCTTCCCCGACATGTTTTACGTCCAAATAACACCAAGCACAGCAATGTCCCAGCCACGATCTCCAGCCAACCAAACACAACTACAGGAGAAAATGACTGAGCGCTTTACCCCAACACATACTGCAGCCCAAGACAGCGACCCAGCAGACAAAGCAGTGAGAGCCAGCATAGAAACCTGCTGTGCATCGTATGCGGCTTCAGACACCCTAAGTGCACCAGGGAAGTTCAGGTTGGACATTAGGAAGAAATTCTTAACACAAAGAGTGATTAGATATTTGAATGGACTGCCCAGGGAGGTGGCAGAGTCACCGTCCCTAGAGGTGTTTAAGGATGTGGCACTCAGTGCCGTGGTCTGGCTGACAGGTGTTCCAACAGGTTGGCCTCGATAATCTCGGAGGCCTTTTCGGACCCAGTCGATTCTGTGGAAAGGCACAGCCACTCCCAGACCTGGGAAAGTGGAATACCTGACGCCACGAGAGTTAAAGCGACAGTGGACATGCCCCAGCGCCCGCACCCACCGCTCCCAGCTCACCTGGCAGGTACTCCGCCTCGAAACGCCGCCGGGTCTCGCTTATCAGCGCCGCCTTATCCTGCCGCTGCTGAAAGGAAACAAGGAACAGGAGGGCCGTGAAAGGAAGGGAAAGGCCAGGGCCCCAGAAAGCCCCAGACCCTCACCTGTACGGCAGGGCCTGGCCACCCGTCCCGCCAGACGACCAACCCCGAGCGACTACGGGCGGCGATTTGGCCAAGACCACCCGGCAGGCGGGCGGGAGAATGAGGCTTATGAGGGGGCAGGGGCGCAGGGACTCACCTCAGCCATGATCAAGTGGGTCTGCCCGCGCCGCCCGCACTGAGGCGGCTCCGGCAGCGCGAGGAGCGGCGGGAAAAGGGGATGAGGCGGCGGCCGGGGGGGGCGGGGCCTCAGGGACACCGGCGGTCTGCAGGCCCCGCCCCGGCCCCGCCCATCGCCGTGGCCCCGCCCGCGCCCGCGCTCCCGTCATGCTCCCCGCGGCGGGAGCTTCGGAGCGGCCCGTCCGGCCGGGAACCGCGGTACGGGCCCGCCGGGAGAGGGGCACCGACCGTCCCGTCCGGCCGGGAACCGCGGTACGGGCCCGCAGGGAGAGGGGCACCGACCGTCCCGTCCGGCCGGGAACCGCGGTACGGGCCCGCAGGGAGAGGGGCACCGACTGTCCCGTCCGGCCGGGAACCGCGGTACGGGCCCGCCGGGAGCAGCGGAGCCCGCGGTCACTGCCGAACCCTCAAGTCGGGTGAAACTTGGTGAGACGGCTGTGGTTCCCTCGGGGTCCCTGGGGCCTTCTCTGGGAGAAGAGGGAGAGGGGGAGGGAGTCTGCCGCAAAATGACCGGATGCTTCGTCAGAGAATTTTCTCCTTTAAGGTCTTAATTTTTTTTTTTAAAAAAAAAGAATTATAGCTATTAATAAGTACTACGCCCTAGAGAAGGCTCTTTGAGAATTCAAAGCACCGTTACTTTCTAATCTGCTCAGTATATTTGTGGCACTGACACCTTCAATGCAATCACACGATTTGTGAGTGTGTGGTTTGGTTTCTATCAATCTACATTATGCCATGCAGCTGTTGATAACCGGAGAATTTCTACCTTGGTAAAGAAACGTTTCTAAAATGTTTGTGTTATTTAAATCTCAGTACAAAGTTGTTTACCTTCATTATAAATCTGTGAGATCAAAGCACATACTGTCCTCATTCTGTATTATTGCTTTGCAATGCATAGTTATTCTTGAGACTCAGTTCAGCTAGTCCCAAAACTATTTATTTATTTTTTTCTTACTTGCTTTTGTAGATGGAAAATGTCCAGAAAGGTTAAAATTTCCATAAAGCAGTAAGCCTGAAAGAAATAGGCACACATAGGATGTTCTTATAGAGGAATATACCTAAAGATAAATCAAGATGCTTCTGAGTGAGCAAGATCAATTCTTGTCCTACAATGGTGAAGTTCTTGTATTTCAGTTGTCAAAAACAAAGCATGCAGAGGAAGCAGATGATAAAACAATGAATTTATGTGTCAGAAGGATGGAATTCAACAGACACACTAAACTGTTTGTTCAGAAGTCTTCTGGAGTATTCAGCATGGGAGCCAGTCACTCAAAAATTGAAATTATTTGTTGTAGCTGCACAACAGATTCCAGAACTGGGATTATTCTTCCCTGCATTTTGATGAAGAAGAAAAAACAGAACAGTGTCAAATACTTTTTATTGTTGCTTCACAGTTCAAACCAATTTGAGCCATCCTTTTATTTTAAATTGGATTATGAGCTGAAAGAAGACATCAGGTTGTTTGCTGGCCCATCATTGTTGTGGAGACATGCCAACAAGCTGTTCTACATCTCTTCCAACACCCACGTGGTTCAAAGTGCTCCTGTTCAGCTTTCTTCTGTAGTGTGGACAGGTGAAATTATGGGTGAAGGCACTGTTGTCTTAGGGATAAGAACTGCTTGCCTGCCAGAGACTGAAGATCCAGATGGGTTTTCTGTTTCAGACAGAGCCATCTGGGGTAGTGAGTTCTTTGGATACGCAGTTCAAACACAGAAAATGCTGCCTGGCACGTGCTTCATGCCTCATGCTTACAGTAGAGTGGTGTCTTCTGTCTGTGTCTGCAAGAGTGAGAGTTTGAAGAAACAGCTCCGGATCTCGCTTGTTGCCATAACCCACAAGAACCAGCTTATTTGGTTCCAAAATGGTGTCCCTAAAGGTGTTTGTGAGCTTCCTTATGAAAAGCCATGTTCAGTAAAAACAGCTCTAACCAGTAGCAATGATTTGCTATTTGTTGTGGCTTTTGCCTCTGGAAATAGCTGTGTTGTACAGAGGAGAGACAGCTTACAGGTATTGGTGTCTTTAAACATCTCCATTTTACTGTGGTCTTTTTTGTATATATTGTCTTATTGAAAGTCCTGCAACTGAAAACCTGCATGTTTAAGTTCTTTAGATCTCTTGTTTGTTATTGTTGCTGCTGGTAAAATAATCTGTCTAAAGTATGATATTGTTTTGCTTCCATTGCTTGCTTATATATCTGATAATGAAGCTGTGATTCTCTCATTCAGTGATACATTTATGAATCTGACCAAAGCTTCTGTTGCTAATTGAAAACCGCAATGGTGTGAAGACTTGAAGTTGCAAGGCAGTTATGAGTACACCTGGATGATTTGTGTTAGAAGTAGCCTCACATCATTGCAAAGTATAAACTGCTTCTTGAAATATCAAAGCTTTTTGAGCCTTAATTCCTAATAAGAAAAAGTTGTTTCTAGAGTATGTTGTTTTATGAAAATGACAAGAAAAGGCCTTGCTATTGTTTCCTAAAATTAGGAGAGACAAAGTTGCTGCTAGGGTTTTGTAGTTATCTGACAGGAAGTCTTGTATAAGTCAGGAAATAAAAATTTGTACTATTTAGTTGCTGGCATTATTATAAAAAATTTTCCTTAACTTTCAAGCATATTTAAGTCTGTTGTGAAACAAAGATATTTCTCAGTGTCAAAGGTGTAATGCCTTTAACTGATCTTCAAGTATTACTGCTTCTAAATAGATGGTACAACGTTCAGCTGCTTGAATACACTGAAAAGTTGTCATCTTCTCTGCAACCTGTAATCTGGAAAGTGATCTTTAAAGAGAAATAGCTAATTTTCCCAGAGATGCATAGGATCTAAATGATACGATGAGAGTGAGAGCTTGAAACCTTTAAATATCATTGCATTTTACACAACTGAATAGGCTCCCTCTTTATGGAAAACAACCTTCTCTAAAATGAGATCTCAAATACAAGATTTATTCTAATAAATGTATTTTAAAACCTCTTCTACTGTAGGTGGCTTCCAAATGGCAAAAAGTGAAGTGTGTTCTGGTGGATGATTTTATTGGCTCTGGAAGTGAGCAGCTGTTACTGCTTTTTAAGGATGACTCCAATACAGACGTGTTAAGTACATTCAAAATAACAGATTTTGGGGAGGTCAACTATGCAGTAAGTTGAGCTTGCCTTTTCTCAGCTACTCAGTCTGTGCTTACTAAATTATGAAAATCTCAACAAATCATTAAAGTATTGATACAAAGTGAAATGGCATGTGTGCTGTGAAGTGCCCTGAAGTTTGAATACAATATTCCCTGCTGTAATCTTAAATTATCTGAAGACATTTTGATTCTGTGATTATATCAACATTCTGTTGGGAAATGAATGCAGCTGAAAATGCTTCACATACATAATAGTTTTGCCACAATCTTACCTTTTGGCTAAGAACCCTTAATTTAATTAAAGCCATAGTACTTGTTAATTATCTTCTCATAATTGGTTCTTTCCATTATGTACTATCAATTTCTAATTGCTTTCAGAAAATATAATTTTTCTTTTAAAAGACATACTGTGATTCTCTTGTCTTGCTGTATTTTCCCCTAGATTTTTATAATGCTGTGTAATAGCCTGTACCTTACTTTCAGCTTTTTAATTCATTTAGGGTTTTGGTTTTGTTTTTCGTTTTTTTTCATTCAGAGTGGTATCAATTATAAACAAGATGTTCCTGCTGCAGAAGGATTGCAAGAGAATGGTTTGCTTACTGTCAGAGCCCTTGAAACAAGATTACAGGTTTGTGCTCAACAGTTCTACCTCTATGTTTTCTGTAAATTACTGTTCTGTATCATTGCATTATCTGAAGGGTGAGGCTAATGATACTGTTATTATTGAAGAACTGGTTCAGGGAAAAGGACAATGTGGTTAAGTATTTATTCTTGAATCAGTGGTAGTTTGTGTTTCAGTTCTCTCAGTTGTTATAAGTGCATTTAGATAATTGTGGAGGTCTAATTTAATATTAATTAAAAGGTTGAGATAATGTTGAAGCTATCTTATCATAGCAGTATTTTACTCACGTTTAAAGACCGGATTAAAAAATTAGAATGTTTACTTTTTCTCCCCATTACATACATAACTTTCAGGTCATGTAGTGGCAGGCTCCCAGTGAGTGCATTTGCACAAATTGGTGACGGTGGTTATTTCACCACCTTCTAATGTTCATGCTCCTATTACTAGCAGCTTTATAAGGATAATTTTGAAAAGTATTGTAGATAAAGCTAAAATGTATCCTTCTTTAAACTAGCATCATTTATAAAACAAACTGGAGGAAGCTTGCTGGAGTTTCCCACCCAGCATAACTCACCAATGTGAGTGCTTTTGCAGTGTGTATATTAGCCTATACCAAATGGGTAATAGTTGACAAGTAGGAACATTATTTAAGAAAAAAAAATCTTTAGGGGAGAACATGAATCTCATACTGAGTCTATTATGAGAGGCTATTGTTAGTTTGCTAAGGGTGCTTTAAAGACAAGGTATGAGGTAATTATTCCTGTCATTTGAGAGTTAGTGAAAACTAAGTAGGGTATTGTGGCAGTTTTATTTCCAGCCTTTAAAAATTAAGCAAATGAATGGGCAATAGTTTACCAGTTAATAAATAAATAAATGAAGGACATATTAGGAAAAGACTGAAAACAACTTTCCTAGTTCTAATGACAAACAAGATATCTAAAGAGATATAGTGTATCATCTAAAAGATAAAAGCTGTTTGGAGAACAGTGGACAAAATATTTTTTTCCCTTCTAGAAGGCCAAGAAAATAGAATCTGCATTAACTTTGAGGACCTCTTGAGGTTCCTTCCAGTCCTACTTTTTTTACAGTTTGCATGTTAGGCTTTAACATGCAGAAGTGCAATCTTCCTTCCAAATGCATCTTTTTCTGTTTCTGCATTTTTTTTCTTCTGTGACAGTCATATTTTACAACTGATTTCACTGCTGCATTCTTGCCTTCTCATTACATTACTCTTCCACAAAACAGAAATTAGTTTCTGTGTCTTTTTGGCTGCTCCTTCCATTTTGTAATGGATTGTAATGGAGCTGCCATTGACAGCTGTATGTTCTGTGTTCCTTAACTTTCTTCTTTCAATACACCAACGGCTTCTACCTATACAGCTCTGAATCTGTGTCAGGATCAAATGAATTATCTGCTTTGCACTTGTTACTGGTTCTGCTGGAAACAAGCCACTGGCTGGATATTTTATCTATTGTGTTGTGTTTATGTTACAGATACAGAATACTTCATAAGACCTAACATTTCTGTGCTTTTAGATCTTTTTAATATCTGATTCTCAAAGCCACTTGCTAGCACAAGCATTGTAAGCAAGTTGGAAATTTATTGTGTTTTAATGCTGTAAATCTTTGAAAATGTCAAGCTGATGAATTTGGAAGTGGGTGCAAATATTTCTTTTTAACCTTACTGTCTATATTATATTTGCTGAACAGTGAAGTACTCTTGCTGGCTTTTATAATCTGATGTATAATTGAATTTCAAGGATGCTTGTTTTGAAGCAATAGTGCATGAGTTCTGCTTAACTTGGGAATTTTCAAAGGTTATTTAGTCTTGAAGTGGTGCCTCTTGATATTTATCATCAAAATTCAGGTATTCTAGAAATTTGCAATCAAATCAAGTTTTTACTGTCTCCATGGAATCCTCTGTTTTAGAGAAAAAAGAAATAGCAGATGCAGCCCTTTTTCATCCTTGTTGCTTAACCCTTGTTTCACATCTGCACAGCTCTTTTCTTAGCCACGTGATAACTTTGGCAGGAATGAATTATAGTCCACAGTGTAAGTAAGTTGTGTTTAAGTTATACACAGTAATATATAAACCACATTTTGCAGGTAGTGACATAGAAAAATAGATCAGCTTGAGCAATTTTGAGTTGTTCTGTTTATTTTGTATACACCATTTTGGGCCTGAATCCAGCCATTTCTCCTTTGAAGTTTTTTTTCCACTTTAGCATGTGTTTTGGTACCTTCTGAAGAAGACATCCTTTGGCAGAGTACTGCAGTTACATTGCAACAACTGAGGTTACAGGGTTTCTCATGGTTTTAGTTGATTGTTTCAGCAGAAATAAAGTGTCTTTATGTCCACTGGTCTGTTCTCCCCATTACTTGACCGTTTTGTAAGTGCTGTAATTCTGGATTTACTCACAGCTCTATTGTCTTTGGCTCTGGACTGTCTTGTTTTTATGTTCATGTTTATTTTCTCTTCTAAGGTGATCTAGTTTTATTTTCTTAGTTTCACAGCACAAAACTTTTAAGTCCTGCTGATGCTTGTACATCTTGGCATATAACAGAAAGGATGTGCCTGTCACTTGATGGACACAGCTCAGTCCTGGGTTTGTTATGTGGTAGAATTCATGTCTTTTTCTTGTGTTGTTTTAGGAGGAAAAAGGGCTTGCAAAAGGCAGATTGGTCAGCAAGCATACATCAATGTCTGGCCATTTTCACTTCTCCCACATCTGTGCTTCCCCATTTGCTTTCTGGTTCTCAGTTGTTTATTCAGGAGTTGGCTCCAATGGGAGTAAATGATGGCTTAGTGTTCTGATGTCCTAAATTAGGAAGGTATTGTAGACTCATCTTTATTCTTAACTCTTCATTTCCATCTCTTGACTCAAGTCTGGCACTGGATTATTGCGTCAAATCTGGTGCTGAGATTCACAGTTGGATAGGTGACAATTTTTTTACAGGACTTTTCATGAGAGTGTGTCGGTCTAAATGCCCTTTGCCATTGCAGCTTGAGCAGAGGACATCACTTCACTTACAAAAACTGCATTTTTATTTGGGCTTATAATGGATTTATGTGTGTTACGTGTCTGGGGCATTGTCTAAGGGGATGGAAGAGGGAAGTTTGGTTTGGCATTCCAGGGTTGAGTTTGTTCTCTCTTTGACAGCACTGAACTTCTCATGATCTTGCTTTCCAGATAATACGCTTTTGAGGATCTTTCTTAAAACCTTAGAAACTGCCATGATTTTTTTTTTTCCTTATTGCTTGGTTTGTGGGTTTTTTTGGTTGGTTTGCCTTGGTTGTTTTTTGGGAGGATTTTTTCATTGTGTTTTGTTTAGCTGAGATGCAGTCAACACATGTGTCTGCTTTTGAACCTGTCAACTCTTCAATGTATTTACTTGACCAACAATCAGTACAAATCTTGAGAAGAAAATGAAACTGCTATCCATGAAAAAGTGAAGCAGGATTAATAATAAAATATATCTACAGAAATATATCTGAACATCTATGTAATTTGATTAAGTTTACCTTAATATTTATCTTAAACTCTAGGTTTTGTATTGAAAGACCAAGATTCTGAGATTTATATTTTAAAAACAGAGTAGCCTGACTTGAACATTTTTTGGAAATGTTAGTTGTGCTTCTTGCATACAAATGGAAAGCTGAAAAGATATTTTGATAGCTCTAATATCCTTTCCTATGTGCAGTAGTCTAATGATTATCTTTTACAGGCTGGTTGGACTTCTGTTCGAGAGCTACAGCACCATTTAGGACTCCAAAAGAGAGTTATTCTTGAGTCTTGCAGAGCATTAATAGATCTTGTTGAAGAAAGAACCCATATTCTACCAAACTCAAAAGAGGTAAAATGCAGGAGGCGGGCCAGATCAGTTCTGAATTCTGCCAAGCCATTTGTAGAGGGTGCTGCCCTCAGCCACTTACCACAGTCACCTGTAGGGGTTGCCACTATCAAAATTCATTAATCTGCTTTTTAAGTCTGGTTCATTTTCTTAACTTGCCAGTATGTGTAGTTAATAGTAAATTTAATTGTTTCTACTTGAAATTGATGTGTACAATACCTGCTGACAACTGAGTGGTATGGAGGAGTAACCTCTAACAGAGTTAGCAACAAACATGAGGGGAATGTACAGTTCTAATTGGCACAGTTGCCTAGATATTGAATAGCTGTCTGTAATCTCACATGTTACAAAAAGGAAGTTGCCATAGAAGTATGTGAGCAAAATCGACTTTATAATGTGGGCAGAGTGAGCTGTGGGCTGAGAAGGTGATGGAGGCTAGGAAAATTTTATTTTAATATGTTGCTCAAAAGTAACCTAATTTAATTGAAATGGAGTTCATCTCCCTTTCAGTTATTGCTGTGGTATCTTCCAAGTTTTCTAGGTTTGGACAACAAAGTATCAAGCAATTAAATGCAGTAATAGAAATTCCAGCACCTTATATCTTTGGACAATTAATTGTATAGCAGCAAGATTTTGACATGTGATGTTTACAAGGAGAGAATAAGTTGTACTTTACATGATAATATAATGTGTTAGGAAAATTCAATTCTATTTATTGTAGAGAATAAATATGTTTATATATATATCTATCATTTTATGTATCTTAAAAGCTCCTTTAGCAGTCACTTGTGGTAAAACAGAAAGTAATGCAGTATAAAAATAACCAATATCACTACTTAATTTTAAAAACTTTAAAAATTTATTAATTTTAAATTATTTAAATTAATTTAAATTAATTTTAAAAAAACACATTTTTCTGTAAGGAAGGTCTTGTCTCTCTCTGGGATGATGTAGAAAATCCTTCTGATTCTCTAAGTAAAGAGACATCATTGGCGTCTAAAGTCCCAGAGCACTTCACAGAGGAATTGTGGCTGCGTGTTGTGGGTGACAGCCTGGTAGTTGGAGTAAAACTAACTGAATCATTTTACTTGTGAGTATATACATTTACCTAATAATTTCATTGGTGTTTTTATAGGAAATGAATATGTAGGTTAAGCTCTGCAGTAAATTTGAATGTTCGCATTTTGAACATCTGCATATAAAATGTTTTAAATGTGTCTGTCAGTACTCTTGCTGCTGCTTGCTTGCTCTCTAGCACTGTGCAGAAAAATATATTATACAGCCAGAAATCATTTGTGTGAGTATCATTGCAACATTACTGGAGATTTTTTACAAAAGAGTTTTCTGTGACAAAAATTAGTCTATGTTGACATAGCAATGCTGACATCAGTGTGTGTTGTAAATAAAGCTCTTTCTTCACTTAGTTCCTGTTGCTTTAGTGTTAGCTGCTTGCTATTCCTAACTGGTTTGCTTCAAGAAGTACAAAAGAAAATATATTAAATTCACTTATCAACTAATAAATACTTAGCTTTTGAATTGAACTCTTCTAGTCAAGAACTTAATCAAAATGATTATTTTGATTAAAATAAGCAAAGCTCGTATTTTATGTAAATTATGTGGAACAATCAGCCGTACAATACTTAAACCTTCAAAATAATTTATTTTTATCATCTTTAAAATTGTTTATGCTATTTATTTTAATTACTCAGTTCTAGTTGTAAATACAATTCATGTCATTTTCCCTTACAGATAGGGAACTAAATTGAAACTGTGAAAAAAGAGGATTACATAAAATATGAAATTACAGCGTGAATTGTGTAATGTAACCTTTGGTGGAGTCAGAACTTATCTTTTGGCCCATTTCCCCCAGGCGGTGTAGCTGAGGCTGTGTTAGGCTGAGCTCAAAGACTACTGATGCCACTGAAAATCATTCAGGTGGTTGTGAGGGAGCTGACCTGTTAGGCCCTCTGGCCATTCTGCTGGAGCTGTGGCTATATTCTTTCTCAACTGCCAGATTGCTGTAACTTTACAAGAAAGTTGACCTCATCCTCTTGACAGCCTCTCTTAAGACCCACTCAGGCAAAAGATCATTTTTTGCCTTTTTACTGTTTGTTCTTTTAGCTTGGATGATGATGCCTTTGTTTTGTTTTAAAATAAAACGCTTAATTCCTGTATAACTTCAGAGACCTTCAGCAGGTTTTAAAAACCAGCAGCAATCTAGCCCTCTCCCCCATTTTTACAGTTGAGAAAAGATCTGTGGAGAAGCCATTTGCCCAAGGTTACCTGGCAGGCCAGCAGCAGAACCTCGGTCTTTTGAGCTCCAGTTTAGTACTGTGTACAACAGCCTGTGTTTGTGGAGAAAAGGACTTGCTTTATCTCCAACCCCAACTCTGTAATTCTTGATAGGTTATTTTTGTGCTTCCTAGTAAGGCAAGATTGCAGTAATATCATGGGTTGCATTATGAGGTGGTGATACTTCTCTGTAAAGAAAATTAGACATTCATAAGACTTTCAAATGTCAGTGACATTTTGAGATTGAATTGATTGACAGAATAATATATTCATTGAAAGAGGATCTAGAACAGTAATATTAGGATTTTATTGAAAGAGCCTTGAGTTGAATAAATAAAGTAGTTCATACATTTCAGGAAGTTGCTGCATGTTCAAGGTAATAGTATCTTAAACCTTTCATATTACTCTACATTGAATTTTGTTTGAATGTCTATAAAAATGTAGTATCAGAAGAGCTTCTAGTCCTCAAAAGGGCAGAATTGATATTTTCCGCAGTTTTTTATTAAAAAAAAAGGTTAAATCTTTAAAAAATAATCCATAATGTCATAGAGTATCTTTATAGGTTACGTCGAATTTTCAGCTTCTGGCTGAATTAAACATCCAAATTCTTATGGTTGAAACAAGGTATCTAACTCCTAGAAGATCTCAGAAAATTCAGTGCACATTTTGAAAAACCTTAATATTAAGTTTATATGAAACAGTCATGAAGGACTTAGCCTCTTTGCAAAGTCTGATTTAATCTGGAGTAGTATTGGACTTTATGATAGTCTTAAATGTCTGTGTACATCTGCAGAGTTGTGGTTATTTGTCAGAAGGCAAAAATGTGAACTGGGAGTGCAGCCATATTGTATGGATTTTTACAGGTCACTGAGTGATGTCAGTTTATCTTTAGTGATGGATCAAGACTTCTCTTCGATTTCTCCAATTATCAAGTGCCAAAGTAAGATCATTAAGCTGAACAAAGCCTTCTCAGCATTGACAGTCTCCTCAAGTCAAATTGAACCTCCTCCAAAAAAGATGAAATTGGACTTGCGTAGCAGCAATGATGTGAAAAAAGAGTTTCCTAAGAGATCTTCAAGGATTCAGCTGGATGAAGCCAAGACAGTCACTGCTGTCACCAGCCTTTCACCACTATTGGCATTTCATCGTGTGTGCTGCGTAGTTCTTCTGCATGCCAGGAAGCAAAGCCATCAGAATGATACTTTACAGCAGAGCAAAAAGATTACTGTACTCTGTGGGAAAATTTTGTTAACTCTAGAAGATATTTCAAATGGCAGATATTCAGTAAAGATGCCAAGGGATAATAGTTACTGTACAGGTAAATGGTTTTATAAATATATATATATATATATATTTGATTATTTTGTTTACTCTAGGTGATGCCAAGCCAAGTTTCTCTCTGAACACAAGCTGCACAGACCTTTTGGGAATTAAAGCTGGGTGAAATAAGAAAGAGAACGTTTTTCCAAATGGGAAAAATGTTTAGTGAGTTGTTGTAAGGTTTTGTTAGCATTGGTGATGAAGGGTATCTGGAAAGAATAATTTTGAAGATAAGTTTGAGTACAGGATGCTGAAGCCTAAGTTTTTTGTATAAATCAGCTTCTGGAATTAGTTACAGAAGTTTTTTTTGACATACTACTCTCTTTTAAATAATACCAAAGTAATTGAAGCTCTTCCTCATCTACACGTATATTAAAGTAATTTATTTTCATTTCTTTTAATATTCCTGATTGAATTGATTTTGACCTGGGCTTTTGCTCAGGTAATGAAATATCCTTTTGTTGTTTGTGATGAATTTGAATTTTTCTTCCTTTAATGCTGTGTCACTGCTAAAGCCAACATCTCATCTTACTATCATAGGAAACTAATAGTCCTCCTTTCGCGAGGTGATGTTTATCTTAAGAGCTTTCATTATATTGGTGGTGCTCCATTAATCAACTGTTCTGCTTGACAGAAGTAGGGATAAGAATTTAGGTGAGAAGAAAATTCCCAAAGAGTGCCTGAAGCCAGGTGCAAATCCTTCACAAAAAAACAGGGAGTATGAGCCAAAAATCAAAGCTTATTTAATGCGTGCTGCATGATCAAAATATTTAGTTCAAATACCTTTTTTTACTGTATTTTTTTGCAGGTTCCATGGAAGATATACTTGCTGTCCTTGCAGTGTCTGTCAGATTTTCCTTTCAGATTGAGTCTTGTGACTACACTTTGACTCCAGTTAGTTCGTGGTTACTGGGAGAAATGGAGTGCACACCATTGAAGGGATGCCAGGACAACATATTCTGTCATAAAGCAGGAAATGTCTATGGTACAATTTTTAATTGGGCCCTGAAAAATCCATTTGAAGGAGTTCTAACAATATTTTGCAGGTAAAATCACTTGCAAAACATAGCATATTCATCTTCTGTACACCCTTTTTTATCTTTATGCCATTTCTAACTGGTATCATGAACAGCAGTTGAAATTGTAACCAATAGGTTGCCAATTTGATGATAACAATCACCAATAACAGGCCTGTTTTCAGATCAGAACTATGGCAGAACCTGAACTGAGTTCTTTAATTTTGTCTAGTCTGGAACGCTGAATTACAGATAAGTCTAATCTCCATTAATATCTGCTTGGGTACTATTCCTTTGCTTCATTTTGCTGCGTTGTTATTTTATATTCTTTTTTTCTTACATAATTCTTAGTATAATGTGTAATTTGTAATTTTTTTTCTTCAATGTGTGTTAATTTTAAAAAAATCCTTTAATATTAAATATTTTATATTAATATTAAATAAAAAAACAACCAAACCACAAACCCCAAAATAAATTAAATTTCTCACTAGGTCATTTTTAGTTTAGTTGCAATATAAGTGTAGTCTCATTTTGTACATGTTTCTGCTGTAGTTATTTCCTATCTGCCATGATTATATAAAGGAAATAATCTGAAGAGTCTCACTGATGTCCTTTCTTATGCAGATTCTTGGACAAATATTTCCTAAACCAGGTTAAGCAAATTAGTAATACTGCCATAATTTATGACTTAGCTGGATAAGGCTTATAACATAAAAAGTACTTCTGGGATATTGACAAATGTTGCTGTTTCGAGGAGTTCAAACTAAAAAATAAAAAAGAAAAGGTGTTACTTTTAAGAGTGTATTTTATAGTGAGGTTCAGTCTTTTCCTCAAATTAGGAGTTGATTTCCATTATGTAAAAGGAGAGGCTGAAATGTTTAAGCAATCAATCAGTAAAATTTTACATCTCAAGACTTCTGGTTCCTTTTCAAAAGTGATTTTACTTGGTACTATTCACTTTTGATCCCATTTTGTTAATAGTTACTGAGCCCTATGTTTATGGGCTGTGATTGTATTTTCTGTATCTTTTATTCCTGTGTTTGGATTGATCTTTTATCTGGCTAGGATATTTCTTTGATAGGTGGAAACTACAGTTTTTGGTTTTTGACACCATCATCATTTTGTTTTACAGAAATCTGACTGTCTTGTTCCAGTGCCTTCATAGCCTTACTCGAGTTCTCCCTCCAAGCTGTGGTGTAAAACTCCTGAGATCTGGAAGCAAAGGAGCACTTACTGAGCAGTTAGCACTGGCTCTGGAAAAGGAAATGCTCACCTTGAAGAATTCTCTTTCCTTAAAAAAGGCTGAAAACAGCTTGACATGGGGGAATGAGTCTGGCAAGAAAATCAATAATGCTCCTCTGGCTTCTTTACTGGACACCGAGGAAGGAGTCCAGCAATTCAGAAAGAAGCTTCAGAATGAGCGGGAGGAGTGTGTGCGAAGCATGAACCAAACAATGAATGGTGCCCTCTACCAAAAAATTGCTTTGAAAATAGCAGAAGCTCAGCTCAGTTCAGATATGATTGTGTGGAGACTGGCCAAGTCTTAGAAACTCTTGACTAAATTTATTTTGAAAAAAAATTTAAGTTATACCATTAAATAATATAAATATTTTTATGGGTACTTCTACTGCTTTGTATTTTATAGCATTTCTGTGTTGTTTCTACAGATAAATAGTGGTATTTTAATTGATGACTGTTGGAAGAATTTAATATTAGAAATTGAGTCATTATTTTGTTACATATTTTAAAAATATTTTTAAGGTATTTTCTAATAATTCCTACTCCAAAATCATAATTCTTGGTCTATAAAAGAACTTTTTAGGAAAAAAACCTAATAAGTGTGTACTCTTTAAAATAGTTCTATTGAATTTGAAAGATGACTGTAAATGTAAACATTTTTTAGAAATCTTAAAACAGGTATAGAAAGGATATAAACTATACAACCAATTATAATTCATAATTTGAGTGTGGAGTTCAACAAATTCAAAGAGGCAAATTATCTTCATGATATGTCAAACATTTTGAATAACTTCTAGTGATACCACTTGAGGAACAAAGCTCTATACATTTCAGCCCTGTCTTCTAGAGTCCACCCTCAGATTTATGGAGTATTTATTGGAGGTGGAGAACCCGATCAGAACTCTTAACCAGATTACAAGAACTCATGAAGATTCACTGCATAATAAAGCTGCTTCAGGTTTGAGAGGTCCATTCCCAATTTAATGGTAGGGCTAATCTCACTGGTAAGTCCTGGAGGAAACTGTCCTTCCTTGGATGTTAGCCTAGCTTCAGTGTCAGAAGATTGCTCAATCCCAGAGTCAGATGATTATCTAGATGATGCTAGCTGCTCAGTGGTTTTGGCCTGTCTCAAGTACTTTAAATAATATTGGGCAACTCTTATTATTATTCCTCTTTTTGCTGGCTTGAGGAAGATCCTGCTTATGTTTCTAGGAAAAGAATGGCCTGTATTGCTTGCTGAGATAGTAATTTTTTAATCAGTTTTTTCCCACTAGCTTCATAAGGGGCAGAAAGGTTAGAAAATCCCAAATCACAGTAATTTGCCTCCTTTTATCTCTGCTTTATATAAGTGAAACATTCTTATTGCTTGTCATAATTTTTCTGAAGTTGTCAGGATTTTGCTTTTCATTTTCTCTGCAAACAGAGTTAATAGTTGACATCTCCAGCGTCTCTTTCAATAAAAGTCTGGCAGGAAAAGTGGAAGATATTTATTGACTCAAAGGAATACTGATGTTTCAGAATAATTTTTTTGTCTCATCAGAAAGCTCAGCTTCTGTATGTATGTCCTCTAGAAGCAGTAAGTGGTGATATTTTTCAGGCTGAGGTATCTTCTCATTCTGGCAACAGGAGTGAACTGATGTACATTAAATGCAAAACACTGCCTAGAAAACCAGTAAATGAGAGAACTGTGCTTCGTAACCTTAACCCAGTTTAGTGATATAGCTTCCCTTCTGATATACTCAAAGTATTAAATTACTCCTTTTTAGCTACAGAGAAGGGAAATCCTCCATTAAGATGTCAAAAATGTCTTAAGAAATTGTCATTTGAATCTCAGTATTTACTGGATGAGAAAGTTGAGGGTTTTTTACAATTCTTTGTTAAGCCAGAGTCAGACAATAGTCAAAGCTTAAGAACAAATTGTTAGGCAGTCAGTTGTCACTGGAATTTCTAGAAGTTCCTGATTATAAACACTTATATGAAGCAAAGAATCTCAAGGTGCAATCCTGTAGCTTGCAGCTAAGGACAAGTCCTTGCTGAGCCATCTGAGCAGAAGCCTTCAGAGCAACAAAGCTACTGTTCAGCTCAGGGCCCTTGAAGGAGATTTTGCAAATCAGTGTAAACCACTCCAGCAGTTGATTTCTGTCAGCATATTAGTCTACTCTCGTGTTGTAACTAACCATCATTGGTCTGTCTGTCTTTAAAGAGAAACTTCATTTGTGTTTATATCCCTTCATTGAAGTAATAGAGTGGGACAAATGAAGAAAAGCTGCTAAGCACAAATGTTGCCAGTTTCTAATTCCATGGAGTTGTTACTTTAAAGAACCAAGCAGTGAAATCACAGCAGTAGAAGTGAGATTATTAGAGTAGAATAGTAACAACATGTTCCTACTAAAGAGACTTTCCTGAGGCATGAATGCTTATTTTGTAAATCATCAGATGAGGTCATTAAACACTTTCTTAACAGCTCTAAGATTCCTGGGAGCAGTTCCTCAACTGACTAGTAATGCATAATAGCATGGTACAACTTTCAGTGGTAGTGACGCAATTGCTAAGCATACTGCGTATGTGCCAAAATCTAAAGGTTTCTGCTGATATGTGTGGGTTTTGGCCAGGAATAATGGGAAAATGCAGCAGGGCATTAACAAAGATTCAGGCTCTCTAGAACCTCATCTTCAAGTGGCAGCAGCAGGCATTTTGTTTAGAGGTATTTGCCTTTCAGAAGTAAAAGCAACCAAAGGTGTTAATGTACTTATTTGGTCTCTCGTGATGATTAACATTTGCACATGCTGGTGCTCAAATGAGAAGTCTACATTGTATGGACTAGAAAAATAGTTAAGTTGGCTAACCATGTTTCTGTCATGAGCTGTTGGAGTCACATTTTCTGGACCTCCAAGAAAGTCTTGGAAGTGAGATCTTGCATAACGTGGGTTTTGCAAGTACTTTTTTTAACAAATCATTTGAGAAATTAAATCAGTGGCAGCAGCAGTCCTAGTTCTGGGGGGAATTGGTATTGCCAAGAATAACTGATAAAATAGTTGGATGTTTGATTCCATAAATAAATTCCCCTTTCCATGATAGTAGATCAAGTTGGGAAACATACACCTCCCAAGGAATTGAAGGTTTTTTGCTACTAAAGCCATTACTAATAGCAGATAGCTATTCACACCACCCATTCACTAAGTCTAACACTCCTGACTACTCTGTACGGATAGTCATTACACTGGGAGGTCAGTCCCCACGCTGGGACCCCTGGCTCCTACAAGGTTACAAATTCCTTTGAAGAGCTCTTCACTTCATCAGGTGTGTATGTGTAATCCTGTAGGGTTTTTTGTTTGCATGTAGCAACCACTACCTGTTTGTGCATGATCCAAGTTAACGCAAACCATGGTTGGTACTAATGTGTGTGGTGGCTTCGTACGCAGCCAGCAGGCTCCTGCTGTTCTGAATTTATCAGTTCTGGTGGATTTAACAGAACAACTGGTCTCCAGAGCTTACGAGTCCTGGGAGATTTTCACATGCTGCTTCTCAGCATGTAATAATCTCCTCAGTCTGGTGCTTGCTGGTAAACATTCCTCCCTCCTGAGCTGGAGAACCCTGTCACATAAACTCAAACAAAGGGGCCTTTGATAAGGCACTAAAATTATGCGCAGGATCAGCTTGTCTGGACCCCAGTAGTCCTGATTTCTGGAAACCAGCAGATGTCAGTGGTATCTATAGGAATGGTTCAAGTCTTCTGGCCATGGCAGTGTTCTGTGTGCAGATATTTACTTTGCAATGACTCTTATCACATTTCAAAAGACAGGTATGCAAAAGGCAGGTCTGACATAGGAAGTGTGAGCTATCATGCTTGGATGCACTCTTAAAATTGTAGCACTTTTAAAGTCACTATGATTTAAGACCCTAAGAAAAGGGATTGTGTGTCAAAGACCTCTGCTTTTTCTGGCCAAGTTGGTGTAATAAATATATTAACTTACAGTGATTTTTCTCTTTCATTCTAAGGCCTCTCAGGGAAAAGAAACCTCTCTACTCTAGAGTGATTCCTGTTGGACAGTAATATTTCCTATTTTTGTGTGTGTATGTATTTCAAATCAGCCACAGGCTGCTCAGTTGCTCATAGTAAAAGTCAAGCCTCCTCTCTCAGCTGCTAATTTTTGTTTTCCCACATCTTTTCACAATCTGGGAACTGTGACAGTCATATGACTGCTCTCCTCTGAATCATACTGACTCTGCTGACAAAATAATAATGGTAGCATGTTTATCCTTGAGTGAGTTATTCATTAGAGGCTATTAACAAGGATGATAGGTGCAGCAAAAGGAGTATTCAAACAGTGGTAGTTTTCTTCTCCTGTCTCTACTTCCTAGGGAGAAATGAAGTTTTAAACAGTGGAAAGAAATTAAAAATCAATGCAAGGATTTAAAATCTCAAATAGTTATAAATTGGAGCATTTAGTTATTGCCAAGTCTTGTTTATTTTGGCGTTTGGTTGTGGTTTTTTTAGTATTTTCTGCACTCTAGGCATGCCATTGGGTAAGGACAAGGTGAACATCATTGTGTAGTAGGAGCTTCTCACCAAGAAAATCTTCCCAGGGAAAAAGCAAAAGAGTAGGAGGTTTGATGCTGCTGTTTAGTCATGTTAATTATTGCTTTAAGGAGGTGATACTACTTAAGTCTTTTCTGTGACCTCAGGTTTGTGGTATGTGACAAACTCATCCAGTGAGATGACTTTCCCCTTGAGAAAGTCATAACTCATAGGTACAAGACGGCAGCTGCATGCTTGTAAAGCACTTGGTTAGAGCAAAGGCTGCCCAGTGCCAGCTTTGGATCAGTCCAGCTCCTGCCTCGAGTCCTGCGTTCACAGAACCCTGGTGCTTCACTGTGGTATTTAGGTCAGAGGCACAGGTTGGTAAAGCAGTCTCAGGTTAACTAATCCTCTTCCTTATTGTCTAAATGGAGAGGCGGTGACTCATGTGCCGGGCTGTGATCCTTACCTGCACAGGGAGGGAGAAAGGGAAGGCTTTGAAGTGAGTCCTTCAAAACAGTGTGTGCTGCCTCTGTGCCTGCCCCTTCCCTCCCTCCAGAGCCCCAGTTACAGTTTTGAACCGAACATGTCATGTCTTCTTTTGTAATCCTGCCTTTGAAATGTTCTCAAGCATGAGGGGAAATGCAGAAGCTGCCAAAAACTTCCAAAATTCATGGTTGGTGGGAGTTTGCTGTTTCTGTCGCGTTTGTACTATGCCCTCTGCACAGACTTTGCTGATTGTATTTTCATGCTTCTCTCTTCCCCTCACCTCAGTGATCAGTGAAAACCAAACCACAATCACTTCTAAAATGCAAAAGGAATAAACTACTTTGTTGTGCTTTGTCCTGTAGATGGGTGTATGTTCTTTTCCAAACTGCTGAATCATAGAATTTACACATAAAAGTCATGAACAAACTGGATGAAATTTCCAAGTGCTGCAAGTAGTTGTGCAACGCAGAAAAAAGCATTTTCCCTCCACAGCCCTGACCTGAGCTTTCCATCAGCTTTTCATGGCTGTTTATGCTGATAAGCTGCACAGGGTTTGTTTGTTTTATACGATTTGTGCAGCTAAGTACCATCCACACTTCACTTACTGGTAATACATTTTAATGCTGCCTATAATATTTTAAGCTTTTGTTTTAATTTTCCTTCTTCTCAACCTCACTTAGAAGAATTCAGCACTCATTGGATGGGTTAGTATACTGCTAGAATTTTTGAACTATGTTTGGATATGAATGGTTAACACAAGAGCTTCAAGAAAGGAACCTCCAGAAAGGAGTGAATTTCTGGGGATTTTATCAGAATCTCCTTTCTTTTTCCAAAGTAGTATGAAATCTCCTATTTATCAAATCAGCCAGATGTGTCTGATTGCAAATAATATACCAGCTGCTTTACTCGTCTCAAATCAGCTGCATGAGAGAGTTACATCAGAGAAAACAGAGACAATTATGTTACTTTGGGGTTACATGTGTATTTCAACACAACTAAGGAGAACTAATACAAGACAGGCCAGTTCAGCAATCTTCCCTGTTTGACAGCCACCATAGGCTAAAATAGTCCAGGAGAGCAGCTGTTGGATTTGAAGATCCCATGACCTTTCTTTGAATATGCAGTGTCTGTAAGAGTTAATTCTCATTTGTGATCACATTCATTAGATTATGAATTCTTCCCCAAGCTGGAGAGTCAGCGTGGCTGTCATGTTATACACAGGAGTGGGCTCTTCTCTCACTGTCCCCTCCAAAGGCTGTCTGTGAATTAATGACAGGAAGGTAAATACAACCAACCACCCTACGGAGAACAGCAATTGTGACCTCAGCAGGAGCAGAGCTGAAATTACACATTCCAGTGGGGAATAATCATTGTTCACCTAATGCTGATGGCTTCACTGGGATTGTTTTTCCCTAATTATGCCCCTGTTTTCAAAGTACACGATTCCTGTTTACTCAGAAAGGGTGTTTGTGTTGTGATAGTTTTACAAAACACTCAAGAATTTTATAATTTTGGTTTACTCCATAATTTACCAGGCACTTGGACAGAGGAGTGCCTATGTAAATGCAGAAAAGAAGAAAAAAAATGTTCCTAAGGTATTATCTTATTTGTTCACTTACTTTTGCAGTAAGTGAACTACTCCAATGCAAAGTACCTCAATAGTACTCACCACCTTGCCAATAAATGTGATATTTTTTGGCTACAGATTAGCTTTTAGTAATTTTCTGGAAAGAATATATCAGTTTTGTTCATTTCAAAGTAATTCAATTTTTCAAAATGTGCTTTGAATATATATAGACAGATGAATGTAACCCAGCGTGTAAAATCCATGGTACTGGGGTGTGTTTCAGAAGGAAGTAGCTAATTTTAAAACTTCCCTATATTTTGTATAACAGGGATAATGAAATAGACAGGGCAGAAAAAATAAAGTAGGGTGAATAAATGATCCCTGCTTATTGCATTTTCTCCAAAGATAAATATATTGTCTTGTGAAGTTATAACTAAGTAATCGAGTAAAGTAACATAAAGTGTATAATCTTAAAAAAAAATAAATATGGAAAGGCTTGGGTGAAGAATAAATCCCTCCTCTATTTTCCCAGCAAAGATATAAGAATTTATGCTAACTGGTGTATTTTCTTGATAAATTGGCATGTTGTAATCTAAAAGAGGATAAAGAATATAGGAGCCCTGCCATTCTGGAATCAATTTCTGCTACAATAAATATTCTTTTTTACTGGCTGTTGAAAACACTTGGAGTTAATTGAATTCTTCAACAATCCACATTAACCTTCTATAAATTAGTAGCATGTGAAAACCAGTAAAACGTTAACAGTGTGAATGGTTCAGGATTTGAATGATTTAAGTCATTGTGGATAGCCTGGGGTTATAGCAATGGTTCCCTTAATACCATCTGAAGTGCTTTTTTTTTATTTTTTTGGAAGTTATTAAGAATTTGGTTTTGCATATCAATCTGCTCATACACATGTAATTCTGTAATTCTACACAGTGATACAGCTCATCTGTGGAGAACTCCCTTCTCACACTGCTGTGTGCCATTCATGAGCCATCATCTTGACCAGTATTACTTCTCATGCCTTTCTAACATGGAGTTTTCAACCCACCCCATGTACACCCATGATAACATTGCAGCTGTACACCTAAAAAAATTAGAGTCTTTGCTTCTAAAAATCACAGAATCTTTGACTTGTCATAATTTTGCATTCATGTGGCTGGGAGGTGTTGGTTCATCTGCGTACACACAGGTCTGACTGTCCTTTCCCTCTGCATATCAATTTTTAAACCTCTTGGAATCCAGTACAATGCCTCCTGTTCTCCAAGACCTCCCCTTTCCCCATCCTCAACTCAATTTTATACCTCTTACACTCTTTAGCTTAAACCTTGACCTCATCCAAGACAGTGGGGAGGCTTCTTGAGGGCTTCCAAGGTCTGCACATCCCTGTTACTTTTTTTTACAGAACTTATTTCTTTTTCTTAGAGGTGGAGTTAGTGGGTTTCACAGACCTAGATTCACAAATATTCTGTTCCTTTGCCCAGGCTTTTGTCAGCTATTGGTGTAATTTTTCAGTAGGTATGACTTGGCTGCTTTTCTGAAGTAGTAAAGGCAGAGAACTAATAAGTTCTAAGCGGAGCAATAAATTCAGACTTATATTTATTCTGCAGTTAGTCACTGTTTATTTGAGTCTCTGTTCCTACTTATATTTGCATTGGCAACAGATGTGATGCTTCAATTTTATTTTGAATTGTTTGCAGTAAAGCTGGCCAATAATGTGCCCATATTCAGCAAGGTAACACCATACAGTTTGTTGTAGTCATTGGTAATGATATTTCAGGTTGTATATCTTCATGGCAAACTGCACATTTTGAGGATTGAATGAACAAATACTAAAATACAAGTGCTTTGAATGCCAAAGGTGTGCTAGAAGTCAGAACCAGATTTCAGTTATGAACTGAAATTAATGAGAATTCATTAGATTTAATTTCAGAGCAATGAAATGCCATTTTTTCTTCAAGTTGTAGTAGAAATACTGTATAGTGCCTTTTGAGTTCTAGGTTCAAGTTCTTTTAATATCATAACAAAGGAATAAAGATATGCTTAGGAGTTCATGTTTCCAACTTCTGTCATAAAATTTTAGAGACACAAGGAGTAACTTGAAAGTTAAGTAGTGTTTACAGATATTCAAATAAACATCTCCAGAAGGAATTACCAAATTATTTTGAGTATGTCAACCAAAACATAAGGAGTTCTTTGTCCATCACCCTTCTACTCAAAAATCACAATCATCCTTGTGACAGGTGCTATTAAGTGAAAAAGTGAGACTGAAATTATGAATGTAGTTAAGCTACATGAGCTATTTTATGAGTCTGAAAAATGAAGAACAGAAACATTAGGCAAACAGCAAGCTAGCTGTAGGGTACCCTGAGGTGATTTTGATGCTTTGTGAGACTGCAGTTTGGGAATCAGCTCCCTTACTTTGCGGCATTTTTTATATAATTTATCTGTGGTCTTGTGCAGATAGTGATGTTAGTACAGAATCTGTTATTTAGCTTAAGAAGTTTCTACAAGATAGCTGATCCTGATAAAATGTTTCAAAGGCATCTGTTGGTTCTAAACAACATTGTTACCTCGGATTACTACTCCATAGTTTCTTATACATTTAAACAGGGTTTACTCTTCCCTTATCGCTGTAGAATTCTTATTTTTATTGCAGGTGATGTGTACTGATTTACCTCCCCTTTGTGCTGGAAACCCTTCCCACTCTATTCTGAGTCAGAGCAAATTTTACCTCAGTAAACTGTGCTGATCTTCTCATTTCTAACATCCTGACATTTCAAAAACATTTGCAAAATTGTGTTTTATGAAGAAAAAAAGAGTTTAATTTGTATTGTCTTAAAAACAAGATTGTGTCACTAAAGAAAAAATCATGAAGTTAATTTGATATGTGAAAATACCTTTTATTTCTAAAAGCAGAAGTGATTTCAATATATTACTTGAAATTGGAAAAATACAGCCTTTCAAATACTCTTGGAGGGGAAAAAAATGTATTTAAATCTCCCTTTGACATTTACTTACTTTTAGCCTACAGCATGTCTGCTGATTGATAATCATTGATGGACTAAGATGCCAGTGGGTGGAAGCACATCTGTCTGCACGTGGCTTTTGGGAACACATAAAATAGGAGCTGATACCATGAAGTTGTTGGTGTCTATGCCCAGTGGATATCTTTCTTAAAACCGCACAGAGAATTTTTAAGACAACCTTTTCAAAGGATTCTCTGCTCTCTGGGAGAGTCTCCCCTGAGTCTGCGCTCGGTGGCCCTGGGGATGCTCTGTGCCCCAGCGTGTCCCCAGCCCATGGGGAGTGGCTCTGGCTGCGGCTGCGGTGGCACATCTCGGCTGGAGGCAATGCTCCAGGGGATGTGGTGGCAGAAAAAGTGCTCCTGCATGTATAAATAGTTCCACATACTGCTCAAGTGATGGTGGCAGGGTACTACTACTCTGCTGCTTTATTTATATCTGTGGAAGTGCCTCGAGCTTTGTAACAAGAGTATCAGGCTTGTGCTGTAATTTTGATTGTTTTACCCCTCAACACAATCTGATTCATAAAAATCCTTGTTTTTCTCCATCAGTCTCAGTTTCTTGCCTACAGTGACAGCTACCAAAAATGTTTACCAAATTAGGGAGCAGATCCCAGTTTGGGAGTACCTTCACAGGCAACCCAGAGTAAAAACTGTGCAC